AATCACTTTTTCCAAAACTCTCTCTCAAAATAATTTTCCAAAACATCTTTTGAAAAAAACCAAACCAAACAACTTTTCGTACTTTTTATCTCTAAAACACATCTCTCAAACACAAACCAAACATACCCAGCATGTTTCCAAATGAGGCCTAGTATGAATTCTATCATGAATATTTTTAATAACATGAACTAATGTCGAGTATAACAATTCAAGATGTCTCACTTTAATATATATATTATTTAATAGTTACAATTTTTTTCACAAAATGTGGATACAAAAAAGAATACTATTTATGAAATAATTTATCTTATTTTCATTTGTTAAATTAATAGAAATTGACATTATAATTTGTACTTTCTTTTTAAAAATTTTGTTTATGTTCACCTACTTATATGAAAATTCTAAATCCGTTCCTGTAATTAAGGTCTCATTTGGCAATATTATTTTTTAGTTTGAAAGTCAAAAAGTCACTTAACAAATTAAAAAACTAATAACTTATACAAAAAAATTAACGATTTTTTTTTTTATGTATCTCAACACTTGAATCAAACTTTAATCTCTCGTTTTTAATTGTAGAAACCTCTAGTCCAGTTATATTATTCCTATTTTTTTTCTCTATTTTTTATATATTTTTTATATAAAATAAAAAAATTATATAAAAAAATGTTATTAGGTTTTTATTCTTGGCAATCCCATTTGACAAAACTCTTTTCAGTTGTACTTTTATTCGCTCTTTTATTTCAGTGAGGTTATCAATACTTAGATGCGAATCTAATCCAAATTGTGTCTTGCAGAGAAGTTTCAGAAGATAATTATTTCATATTTGCTACTTCTCTGACTATGATGGGGGTCGAGTTGCCCGGTCAGCTCGCGGGGGTCTAGGAGGCAGTGCCCCTTGGCGGGTCTGAGGTAGCGCCCCTGAAGCAAAATGCAAAAATGCATTCGAAGTTGCTTGTTCGCTATTGCTTGCTCGAGCGAAGGAGTCCTACTTTCAAAAGTTACGTCTGTCTACCAAAAAACATGAGAAGGAAGATTGTACGCTCTAGCGAAAGAAGCTTGGCTCAAGCGACGTCTCTTAAGGAAAACACGCGTTTTTGTTTCCTCGCTCGAGCGAGAGAGTCTTCATTCGAGTGAGTTTCGCAGTCTTTGTTTTCTATAAGAACTTGTTTAAGTCCTAATCTAGGGTTACGTCTTTGAGATCTTTTTCTTTGATATTAGGATTTATATCTAGGGTTGGTTTGCTAGTTTTCTTTGATGTTTGATTGAGTATTCAACTCATGATTTGAGAAGTATATATCAAATGATTGTTTGTTTATTCCATACAAAAGAGAGAGTTGTTTTTCAGTGGATTCTAGAGAATTCGAGCTTGAAGATTTGGTGGATTTTAGAGTGGCTCATCGTCGTGATTCAACATTGGCGTTGTGGATTCAACGATGGGCAAGACAATTTTGAGGTAAAGACGGGGCTGGAAGAGGCACATAGGGGTTGGTTCAATTCGGGCGTGGATTCGCTAGGTAGTTGAGAGTATACCTGTGTATTTTCTCTATGTCTTTTTAGTGGATTGTTTTGTGGCTTTTGTTTATGATTTTTTATCACAATTTGAGGCGCTTCAATTGTGATTTTTCCACGTTAAAATCGTTGTGTCAATTTGTCTTGATTGTTTGATTGGAATGGATATTACTACTTAAAATTGATATATAATCACAAATTAATATTTAAAATTTTTTTAAATTTTTTAAAGGTCAATTTTCAAAACAAGCTTGAGTCACATAAAAAAGGTATATGATTTTTTTTTTTTTTTCATATATCATTACTCATGGTAATCTGACCGTTGATTTGTGGGATGTGAACACCACGTGGGATTCACATAGATAAACGGTGAAAATATAGAAGTAGTTTTCAACCAATCCAGGCTCTTCCCGCGAACGCCAATTATTAAGGAATGGAGTGGAGAAGAGTCCTCCGCCACGAAAAAGTTCAGATAAAATTGTTAGTAATTAAAATGGGTGTCATTTTCATTGTTTGATCATTTTCCATCTCGATTCTCAATATTCTTTTATATTTGGGTATATGTGATCCATAACTCAAGTAGATCAGAAATGTGAAGAAGCCCTAAAAAAAACCATATAATTCATTTCTTATATATATGTGTGTATATTCATGGGTATATGTGAGACAGGGACTACATGTAAACGGAGATTAGTCGAGGTGCAACTCGAGAACTGACGTGAATTAAAAAATAAAAAAATATACTAATATAAAGGGAGCCAAACACTACCTTAATATAATTATATTAAATTGTCTTTTAATAAAATTAAATGAATTGAAATTACTAAAAATAGTGTCAAAATATAAAAATAAATAATGTAAAATATACATTTTTATATAAAAATATCATTATTTTTTATTTATATAATTTATAACTTATTGATAAAAATAAAATAAATTTTATATGAATTGAAAGTCCCTTAATTATAAACAAAATATCAAGTTACTTTCTTTATTTATGACCTCACACATTTCAACTCTTCAATTATGAAATTGTATTGTTTTTATCTCATTCTTACACTTAAAAAAAATGTGTATTTGTACAATTTTCATAAGAGTAATGATATATAAATATAAAATTTATATAGAATTTTCATATATAATGATGTTGTAGTTTAATGATGACCATTCATTTTAAAACAAAACAATTATCAAGATGAGTTTATTTACAATGATAATATTATCACATCATTCTCATACATTTTTATGTATGAATAAAGTTTTTCTTTTTTTGTAGTTGATACGCCAATATGCATGAATTCATTGATGAGAAAGTAAAATAATACTCACTAATAATTGTGAGGATTTTAGTGTTACCAACAAAAAGAAAAGAACAAAAACAAATATTAAGGGCCTGCTTCACATCATTTCATTGCTATTTTTTTTTTTTTTTTAAAACTAAATTTGCAAAAAATTTATAAATATTGACTTTGTGTATTTTGTTTTTCATTTTCTAGTAAATTTATTATTTGGGATTTCAAAAAATGTCTTAAAAGATCTTTCAAGAAATTAGTTACTTGCATTTTGTCAAATACATTTTTATGTATTTTTCATCTTCTTGTTTTATGTTCAAGAAAAATAACATATTTTCAAAACAATACTCTTATTTATACAGTAAAGAAAATGATATTAATTACCGAATAAATTTTACTGTTTCTACCTATTAAATAAATTTATATTTATGTAACAAATATTATGTATATACATAAAACTTGGCATGTCTAAAAAGTTTCAAGTCTTAAATATATACATGTTTAAATCTAAAGCAATGACCTTGTCTATACAATATTAAAAGACCTATCATTTAAAATATATATATATATATATATATAAACAACCCAGGATATTATAAAGAATAGGGGGTTTGAAACTGAAAGAGTTGAAGTGATGCAATCATTTTATACATACATTACTATGCTAATGGAAGTTGAAAAATTATAATAATCAAACACAACAAATATAAATTATTGTAATAATTATGTTACCAAATTTCAATTAATGTTTTAATATGATTCTCTTGTTGCTTATCATTTGAAATTTAAGCAAGAACCAAAGATCAAATATTAAAGTCAAATTCAAATAAAATTGGAGGATGAAAAAACAATGTGGAACAAATTTTATTTTTATTATTGTCTATAAAATGAGTTCAAGTAATTTCACAGCAACACATCTGTCCAAACATTTAACCACAAATAGGGAATGATTATATTAAAATATGAATTGAAATTTAAAAATTTTATTGGTATAATTAAAAGATAAGGAAGATTAAAGTAAAATTAAGATAGAAGATGGATGTGACATTTCTCATCCTTCTTATTGGATATTGATTTGAGGTTTCGTTTCGGAATATATTATTTTAATAATTTTTTTAATTTTTTTTATGAAAAAATATGCAGAAAAATAGAAAAAATAATATGATACTTTATAAGGTTTTGTAAAAACTTTTTAACTAAAATATTTAATTCACAAACGGGGCTTCAAACTTAAATTTATGGAAAAAAACACCCCAGATTCTTATTTGCTTTTTGATTGAATTAAATTTTTGTCTGAAAGAAAGGGGACTCAAATCTCCAAAGAATTTTTATTTACTTAATTTAATTACGAAATTGCCTTTCTCGAAATATAATGAGAAATTTTAGAAATAATTTGAGTAAAAAATGATGCTTGCCAACAAAGTACTCTATAAGAGCATCTCTAACGGTTTATCAAACCTTTCACTAAATTTGAGTAAAAAAATCACCATTTTTTCAATTTGGTATCAGATGTTCCAACGGTTCATCTTTCACCAAATCTGTCTCGGGACAACCGGTTGGTCGACCGGTGAGGGAATTTTTTTTTTTTTTGAATTGTTTGAATCAGAAATGTTGAACTGTTTGAACTCTTTCCGGGACAACCAGTTGGTCGACCGGTAAGGCAAATTTTTTTTTTTTTTGAATTGTTTGAACCAGAAATGTTGAACTGTTTAAACTTTTTCATGGACAACCGGCTGGTCTACCGATTCGTCTCCCTTCAACGATCATGTACAGTGTTTTGGTGAAATTTGGTGAAATGTAAAGTCTGTCCTCAGTTTGATGAATCCTTTGGTGAAATCTCATTTTGATATCGATTTGGTGCAACCGTTAGAGCACCAAAGAGTAACTTTTTCATCAAAATTTAAATTTGATATCAAATTTAGTGAACCGTTGGAGATGGTCTAAGTAATTAATTTTTAGTCAAATTTAAGAAAGTAAAAAAGTGTAATTTAGGCCTAGTTTGGAAAGACTAAATAAGTGCACTTTTTGACTTTTTTTGTATTATGTGTAGAAAAAATAAAGAGAAGATGTTGATTGATGTGATCCAAAAAAGATAAAAAGATGAAATAAGTGCACTTTTTCCTTTGTAGCCAAACTTGGCCTTACACACATGGGTTTCATAAATATAAAATTATGGAGTAGACTTGGAGAAAAGAAATTAGAACCGTCCAGACCCTGTTTAGTTTAGTTTAGTTTACCCCCATATAGAGAGAGAGAGAGAGAGCGCTTCTTCTGTATTGAAACAAAAACAACAGCAAGCACCTGATAGAAACAGATGCAACCCTGCGGCGGCGTTGGCGGCGGAGGTGGAGGTGGAGTTGGAGGTGGAGGTGGAGGTGGTGAACTGAGTAGAGGACTTGCTCGGTTCAAGTCAGCTCCGTCGACCTGGTTAGAAGCTCTACTAGAATCAGAAGAAGAAGAAAACGATCCTCTCAAACCGACGACTCAGTGCTTAACTCAGCTCCTTCCGACTGCCAGTTCAGCACCGCCCTCCGCCGCCGCAAGCTACGTCTCCTCCGCCGATCCGGGGTTGTTCGACTCCAGAGGTGGTGGCGCCTCCTCGGGATTGGGTTTCCTCCGCCAGAATAGCTCTCCGGCTGAGTTTCTTACTCAGATGAGTTCTTCTGATAGTTACTTGTCGAATTTTGGAATACCTGTCAATTACGACTTTCTCTCTTCGTCTATTGATGTCTCTCCATCTTCTAAGCGCTCCAGGGAAATAGATCCACAACACCCATCATCAAAGTTTTCTTCACAATTGGTCAGTGTATACATCATCAACTCCCAACTAATTTTAATGAATTGTGGCTGTGACCATTTAATTATTGTGTATATACAATGGGTCACATAATGGGTTTTTAACTAAAATATTTCTAATTTTCTCCTTATTAGCAAAATGAAAACATGTGCTTCTTTGGAATAGATGACATAAACACAAATCCAATTATAGTCCTGTTATTTGACTGTATAGTGTGTGTACATATACTTACAGGCAAATGTTTAAGAGTGCCCTGAGGCATTGTTTAATATAGGGATAAAGCTAAGGTGAAAATGTTAAGAAGGTGTATTGGTTTCAATAAAATGTATATTGAATTCCGTGTTCAATTTTTTATTTTTTTTAAAATCTTTTTTCTTTTGCCCTTGTTAGCAAGACCCATACTTATCTATACTAATGTTGGAGAGGTACAGAAAGTAGAGCAAAGTGGGCAGCTACATGGAGGGATGAGTGGTTTGTTGGATGCGGAGATGGAGAAGCTTTTGGAGGACTCAGTTCCTTGTAGGGTTCGGGCAAAGCGTGGATGTGCTACCCATCCTCGCAGTATAGCTGAAAGGGTAAGAGTTACTAGTTAAACTTCATTCTCTTGTTATCTTAATTTGATTGGTTGGAAATAAACTTTACAAATTAATGATTGTTTGTTTGATGTTGGTCTGGCCTGAAGTTTTCTCTTTTGGGATAGGTTCGGAGGACTCGAATTAGTGACCGCATAAGAAAGCTTCAGGAACTTGTGCCCAATATGGATAAGGTAACTCATTTAAGCCCTATAAATGATTTTGAATTACTTATTACTTGTAGCATTTGTGCTGAAAAGTTTGTTGCTATGCCATTTAGCTAATGATCATTATCTAATGATGCTGAGAAGTGAATAGCATGTTTGATTAGATGATGTCCATTACTTTAGAAGCACTGGGTAAATCAAAGATAACAGGAATTTATGAGATAGAATAGAACCTAAATAAATATTGAGGACTAATGTCAGTACATAAGAATGCCGGAAAATTGTATTAGTGAACTTGAGTGGCTTTTTGCCTGTAAATTGATCATTGCTATTTTGTAGTTGGATGGGTGTAGTTGATTTGAGACATAGGCATTTGATTTTAATTTTACAGTATATTCTAGGTCTGATTATTATTGGTATTAGATCGAGAGGCCTAAAGAGGTGGACAGGGTAGTTGTATGAGTGATGTATTTTGGTAGGATTTTTGTGTGGAAACTAGATTCCTTTTTAGCAGTGTAAAAATGACTTGTTTCATCTTGTTATTTAAGGTCCCTAAGCATCTCCATCAAAATAGTCAAATTTTTAGTTAAATTTTAACTAAAAGTCTATTTTTCTCTTTTAGCTAACCATCTTTTCAAATACATTCTCTAACAAATTCTCTATTTTTTATTTCATTTGTTGAGTCTTCTTTCTCTAACTATATGTAGCTAGTGATTTGCCTAGCTACATGTAGCTACTGGTTTGATATTCAACTAAATTAGCTAGCTAATAATTGAGTTTGATGGAGTGTATTTCTATGATTTTATGCTATAAAATAACCAAGAGAAGGCTCTAATGAGCTTGATAATGATGCTCCTTCTTTTGGAAATCTACATCTAATTATTAAGGTCAAGTTTGGCATGAGACAAAAAAGATAAAAAGTCAAAAAGTTACTATCCTATTTAAGTCACATCATCTTATTTAAGTCACATCACCTCTCTAACACATCACTTCAAACCCAACCCAAACCCAACCCATATTTCATAAAAAGTCAAAAAGTGCACTTATTTAGTCTTCCCAAACTAGGCCTAAGCCTATATCTAAGATATAGTTCTGAAAGGATTGGACACAACTTTATTCATTTCAAATCTCTGAATATGAATGCAAACACAATATATATATATATATATATTAAATAGACTATAATTTAGACAATTTGGTTGAGTTTGAATAAATTTATCAAATTCACATATATTTGATTACAGTAGCTTGTTTATGCAGCACTAGGGTTTCTTGAACCAAGAAGAACTTGTATGAGTTTATGCAGCACTAGGCCTATTAGTTTACTTGGTAGTGTGTATAAGCTTTTGGCTAAAGTTTTGGCAAATAGGCTTTGCGTCCACTTCACCTACTCCTTACCTACTACACACTCACCCTCTTCTATATATAGGAATCATGAATCATTGTAATAGAAATCAATATATATCAATCAATAATAATACATACAATTTATTCTCTCTCTTTCTCTATACATTATTTCTTATAGCTTTTGGCTAAAGTTTTGGCAAATAGGCTTTGCGGGGTCTTGCAGGTGGTTGTATTTGAATCTCAAAATGCTTTTGTGGGGGGTCGGCAGATTCTGGATGCAGTGCTTGTGATAAATGAGTGTGTGGACTCTCGGATTCGATAGGACCTATCAGATTTGATTTGTAAGCTAGACATTGAGCAGGCTTCCGACAATATACGGTGGGAGTTTTTGTTGTATGTTCTGAGCCGCATGGGTTTTGGAGAGACTTGGTGTCAGTGGATCCAGTTTTGTATTTCTACTGTGAAGATGTCTGTTCTAGTCAATGGTATGTTGGCGGGTTTCTTTTTGACACACCGAGGTCTTTGTCAAGGGGATCCTTTGTCACCATTATTGTTCATTTTAGTGATGGAGGCATTATTGTTCGTTTTAGATTGTTGGACAGGACTGTTCATAAAGGTTGGCTAGAGGGTTTTTTGGTGGGTTCTTTCACGGGGGCGCCTATTTGTGTTTCCCATTTGTTGTATGCTGATGATACTTTGATCTTTTGTGGGGCAGTGGCTGAGCAAGTAGGGTATTTGAAATGTGTCGTGTTATGCTTTGAGGTAGTTTCGGATATCCAGGTTAACCTGGGGAAATCGGAGTTGATCCTGGTGGGGAAGGTAGAGAGCCTTCCGGTGCTAGTGGCGGTGTTGGGTTATCAGGTGTCGGCTCTTCCAGTAACTTATTTGGGCTTGCCTTTAGGGCCAACGTTTAAGGCGATAGGGGTGTGGAAAGGAATTGTGAAGCTGATTCAATGTCGTTTGGCTAGGTAGAAGAGACAATATCTTTCGAAAAGGGGTAGGTTGACTTTGATCAAGAGTGTGTTCAGTAGCATCCCAATGTACTTCATGTCTCTGCATGTTATTCCGGTATTGGTGGCGCGATGGATGGAGAAGCTTCAAAGGGATTTTCTGTGGGATAGTAGGGGGGATGATTTTACATACCATTTGGTGGATTGGGGGCAGATCTGTCAACCAAAAGAGGCTGGGGGGTTGGAGGTTCGGAGTTTGGTGACTTTTAACAGAGCTTTGTTGGGCAAGTGGTTGTAGCATTTTGCTTGAGAGCCGGAGCGGTTTTGGAAACAGGTGGTGGCTAGTAAGTATAGGCTATAGGGGGGTTGGGGGTCAGGGAATGTGACTAGTTTTCATGGTTGTGGTCTATAGAAATGAATTTGGTTGGGGAGAGTGGAGTTTCGTGAGAGGGTGGGGTTCTGAGTAGGCGATGGGATGAGGGTGCGCTTCTGGAAGAATATGTTGTGTGGTGAGGTTTTGTTGGAGGATCATTTTCCTTTGATTTTTAGCATTGCAGGGGATCAGGAAGTTATGGTGGCATCTTATTTGGGGGGTGGCGATGCAGTGGTATGGAATATTCATTTATGGTCCCTGGTTCAGGATTGGGAGATTGATCAACTGTCGTAGTTATGGAGTTATTTGTATGGGTTGGGTGTGACTGGAGAGGGGGTGGATGTCTTGGGGTGGAATGCTAGGAAGCACGGATACGGATACGGGATACGGATACGATACGATACGGATACGACGATATGACAAAATTTGAAAAACTAGGATACGGGTACGGCGGGGATACGTTCGTAAAAAATATTATTTTAACAATTTTTAGTAATGCAGTATGCATAAAAATAAAACCTAAAGCAAAAGACAACTTGATAAAAAAGAAAGATTCCTATAAAACTAAGAGTCTTCAAGGTCAATAGCTTCAACTTGTTCCCCTTCATCATTGAATATCACAAGACCTTAGCTAAAGCCAAAAAACCATTCTTAAATAAAAATTTCAGCAAATATACTTTTTTAAGTTATCAATGATAGCCTAGAAAGCACGGATACGAATATGGTGATATGGGGATGTGGATATGGCGATATGTCAAAATTTGAAAAAGTACGATACGGGTATAGCGGGGATACATTCATAATTTTTTTTTTAATATAATTTTAATAATGTAATATGCATGAAAATAAAACTTAAAGTAAATTAATAAATAAGGAGAGGGATTCCTATTAACCTAAAAGTGCTCAAACATTCATAAAACATCCAAAACTAAAAGCAAAAGCAAAAGCAAATTAAACATCATCCTTACATGCCAACACCAAAAAAAGAATGAGAGCAGAGAGAAGAAACGTGAGAGAGTGAAAAAGCGAGAGAGAAGTGAGAGAGACAAGAAGGATACATCAATTTGACAAATTCTATTACTTTAACTCTCACTATATTCCTCTTATCAAAGAACTAAACAAAATATTATAAGTAATATATAATTTCGAGTATCCGATACTTCAAAATTAAGTATCCGATACTTCAAAATTAATAAAAAATTAATTAAGAAGTATCTGATACTTTTAAGAAGTATCTGATACGTATCCGCGAGTATCCGAGGAGTATCGGTATCCGATAAGTATCCGATACGGATACGTCACCCTTTTTAAAGTATCCGTACTTCATAGGTGGAATGTTGTGGGGGCCAAGAGGTATTTTTCTATTTCGTCCTACTATAGGAGTTTGGTGGGGATGGTGAGGAGGGATTTCCTTGGAGGAGCTTTTGGGTGCTGAGGGTTCCTTCAAAGGTGGCCTCCTTCATGTGGACAGCGGCCTTAGGTCGGAATACGATTGATAACTTGGTGTGGCATGGTCATATTCTAGTGAATCGGTGCTGTATATGTTGGACGGGGAGTCCGTGGATCATTTGTTTTTGTATTGTTTTGTGGCTAGCCGTTTGTGGGGTTTTATTGGCTTTCTTTTTGGGTTTGTTTGGGTTCAGCTGCGGAGGGTGATGGATATGCTGTGGAGTTGGCATGGAGCTCGGGTTGGTCGCTAGCGGCGGCAAGTGTGATCATTGGTGCCTCTTTATTTGATGTGGTTAGTTTGGTTGGAGCGTAATAGGCGAACTTTTCAAGGGGTTCATCATAGCGTTTCTTGGCTTAAGAGCTGTCTTCTTATAATTTTGTATAGTTTGATGGAACAGAAGTTGATCTAGATTTGGTTATTTTTTTTAGATTTTTTAGATGACATTCTTAGTTAGGAGTTGGCGATTATCCCTTCGGAGTTTGCTACGAGTTTTTTTGTCTCCGCTCGATATTTGAGCGGTTTTGTATACTTTGCATCATCTTGATGCTTCTTCAATAAAATTTATTTTATTTATCAAAATAAATAAATAAATAAATAAATAAAAGAAGAGAGAAACTACCTGTCAATTAGTTAAAACATAAATACCAAACAAAAGGACAAAGAAGAAGATCAACCAAACAATGGTATTATTTCATTGTGAAAATTTAACTCAACTGTAAGCTTATTAATTCAAACAGATGGAGCAAAAGGTTATAGTTGAAACAGCAGATGACTGGGCTTACTTGCAGGAGATCATGAAGGCAGGTTAGTCCGTGCAATTTGCTTCTGTATCTGCCAGATGACTCTCTTCTTTTGTGTTTGAGGTTTTAGCTATTAGGAGGCCCCCCTTATTCTCTAATCCAGCCAGACCTCCTTATAGTGTTCAGTATATATAGTGAGATTACCTAAGATTGAACCCTATATATCTACTTCCTCATGTGTAAAGAAGTATAAGTTACTGTGTCAAGTCATTTAAATAGGCCTATGCTAAGTTACATGGATTCAAATATAGGTGTTGGGTCTGGGTATGCGTTTGAAGTGTTAGATTCATCTAATTCACATGTACAAGGAGACCAATATGGTAGTTTGGTATAATAATGAGAATTTTTTTGGTCCAGTGGGTATCATTGCAATTGTCAGTGTTTACAAATTCTGAAAATTACTGTATTTAAAGGCTTTTGAATCAACATCAAATGATTTGTCCAGAGCTTGAGCTCATGTGGCATAAATAGAATGGTTAGTGAGAGACGTGGACTGTAGTGGACTTTTCAAATAAGCATTGAAATTTATGCCATTGTTTCGAACAGTCAAGGGTGATTTTATTCTATTCAAATGCAGAGTGTGCTTAAATGGAGGGGACCGATTTAGCTAAGTTACTCCACATATTAGAATGATTGAACAAATTTTATTTTTAGTCATATTTATTGATTTTTTTAAAGAACATATTTAGGTGTTAAAGTAGATGAATATTGTAGGTTATTACTGACAATTAAGGTTTTATAGAGCTTCCAAAAGGGCCTCAATGTGTAGAGGTGATATTGACATTGGGTAGTTGAATATTAGACTTTTGGTCTTTCCCTGTCTCGGTCCTGAATTTGAGCTTTCGTTTGCTGAGGTTGAAGATGGATTCTTCTTCTTTCTTTGACACTACTATGTGCTGTTTCTAGGGGTGTCTTTCTTTATTGAAAAATTCATTATAGTGGGAATTCGTGCTTGATCTTTAGTTCTATCTGCTTTAGCTTACAGTATTTGATTGCATATGCTCAATGGTCTTTCATGACTTTGACATGGAAATTCTGTTGTTGATACATGCAGCAAACTAATACAGCTGATATGTTAGATGAGGCTGTAGAGTATGTCAAGTTTCTGCAGAGACAGATTCAGGTACATTCTGCATTAAGCTAACTTGAAATTTGCTCGCTTTTATGTTAAGAAGATATGAATGTGGGAAATCTTTTTACAATTTCACTACAATGCCTCCAATATTCTACAATTTTGAGCAAGTGTTGATGATAAAGGTATTGATATAAGAGAGGTGGGATCGATTATGTTGCGACTGGCTGTTATTTCTAAATCTTGGCATTTGCTTGAATTTGAGGCAGCAATTGCAATTTTAAATATATAGTAAGGTATTTCTAAAATTTTGAATTGGCAACACCAAAACAGCTTCACAATATAGATACCTACAAAAAAGAAGGAAAAAAAGAAAGGAAAAAAAAGAGTTCATGATGTAGTAAGGTATGGATAAGAGTAGGACAGCTATTTATCTATTTGTTCAATTGAAGGAAGTCCTCACGAAGTGAAAAACCAAAATGTGGCAGGAACTCACGGAGCATCAAAAGAAATGCAAATGCTTAAATAAAGATTAATTGGGAGAACATACTCAGGAGTGTGTACGATACAGTGGTCTTTCATGGTTTGTAGACAATCCCTCTGAAAGATCTGCCTTAAAAACATGGTATTTTCCATGTACTATGTTGAACTTTGCATGTTGTAGATATTGGCTGGGTATAAGAGCGTGCTATTTGGTCAAGAGTATCAGCTTCAACGTGGAAAAAAAATATCTATCTGAAGTTTTATTGATATGGCTGTAGTTGTAGTTGTAAAATGTTGTACAAGGTAGTATCTCTTGACATACTCTACTCACTAGCTTCTTTAGGTTAAAATATTTATTTTCCATATCCACAATTGTGTATTTGGAAATTTGAATGCCATAAAGCTTGCTGTTCTCATGAAGCTATTCAGTAAATAAAAATATTCCGTACATCAATTTCCTTTCCACACACAGATTCCTTAATTTTTACTCTCTGGCATTTTAGAAATATTTTATTTGTAATTTGTGATGTTTATTTTGAACTTCCTTGCTTTATATCATGGACTGGAATGAAGATTTTGGGTTTTACCGTTGCATTGTTGAATTTCAAAGTTTAGGGGAATATCCGTTATTATGTATATATTGGTGCAGTGGTGATGGTCTGCACAATGGTCCCGCAACTCCCCAAACTGGATGAAGCTGGATTCAATGCCAGGCTTGTAGTATCACATTGAGAGACTTGCTATTGGATTTTCACTAATGCTGTTTGGTTGGGAGATTTGGAAAGGGAAATGGAAAAGGTAGGTGAAATATGAATAAAACATACTTACATTTCATCTAGTTTTACACATATTTTTCTTTTCGTTTTCCAAATCTCTTCTCAAATCCCCTCAACTAAACACAGCTTAAGAGTGTAATTGGGTGTGAAAATAGGTGTTCAATCTACTTGTCATAAAAAATAAAACAATTAAAACAAAATCGATTGAGATGCTTATTTTCTGCATATGTAGTTACTGATATTGGCTCCATTCATAATTCTAAAGTTAGGTAATGATAATGTCATTACTTCTATCAAGTTTCCTTGTAAGTACTAAAGGTTTTGACCTAGGTAAGGGCAAATTTGAAATGTGGTCTTATAACCTCAGAATATCTTTAAGAACTGCAGTGCAGTTCAGCCCTCTGAACGTTTATTTATGTACAGCGCGTGAAACCACTCATAAACATTTGAGTTTTTATAAAATATGAAGATTGTTCCTATTAGCGCTCTATTAATTAATTTGGATCTCATATTTTTTAATTTTTTTAATTATAATAATAACTTCAAATGAAATTATTAAAATTGATATCAATAATTTTGAGGCATCTCATCTCACAATTAAGCTTATACACATTATATCATGAGTTAAGATTTATAAGAGCATCCACAATCAAGCTTACACACTCATTACATCATGAGTTAGGATTTATGAGAGTATTCACCTTCATCATCATCCATCCATCTTTTTCAAATCTCATCTTCAGAACCTACCCACTTTTAAAATCTTAAATATCTTTTGGCGGTAATATTCCGGCAGAAATGGTGGCAACCATTTGATTATCTATATTTCTCCAGTAATGACAATGAGTAGAAATTTTTTCGACAACCACAACTCTATGAGGCGAGAGGAATACAACAATAAAAACTCAAGGGAGGTTCATAACTTTGATGGTATTCTTAGCTTAGAGGGAATTGGCATTGTAAGGGTAAGTTTGTTGAAAAAAATGACAAAAATAATAAAAACTTTTCGTCATTTTTTTCGAGATTGAACTCCCGAATATATGATCGAAATTTGGGAACAGAGGCTCGAATATTTTTTTTTGTTGTCTGGGAACAGGTAACCAAACATTTTTTATTTATTTGGGAATAGATAACCAAACATTATTAATGAATTTTTTTCAAACTTTAAAATTACAAAATCCAGGTAAGATAAGGAAGAATAATTAAAACTATCAGAGAATTTTAAAAAACCTACTTGACAGATCACAAATCTAAACTCGTGGAGATCGCATAACTTACAAAAGGTTCTACATTTATTTTCTCAGGTTATGAACAAGTATATAGAGATGAAATAGTAATCACTTTCATGGATTTTGTTAGGATTTTTGGGAAAGATGCTTTTTGGGTGTGGGGGTGTGCATTCAATTAATTAGGTGAAATGTTTTCACGAGGATAATTTTGATATTATTTGTAAGAGAAAATAAATTTTAAGGATTTTAGAATTTATAAGTGAGGATCAAAAGAAATAGAAGATTCAAAATAAGTGATGGGTGCTAATAGTTACACTCAATATAAATTATTAATATTTCTTAAATGTCATTTATACCCTTAAACCCATTTTAAACTTGCATACAATGGCTTTTTTTTTTTTTTTTTTTTTCCCCTCAATTCCCCTTTTCCATGTAATTGGTTGAGGTGATTTTTTTTTTAACCCAAAAAAAAAAGATGTTCTAAGATGTCATCACTGTATTTGGGGGCTTAGACTCCGAGATAGCCGATTGCTGGCTTGATTTAATTTAATTCATAGGAAGGGACCCATTACCAAAATACTAATAGAGCTCAATCACACACTCTAAAAAAATTAAGTATCGATCAAAATACAGTGCAAGATATTCACACAGGTGATATGAATTGATGAGTGGGGATGGCTTTGGTCCTAGGTTGGAATATTGTCTAGGCGGGTTAAATTGAATTTTATTGGTGGTTTTCAGTTTTCAGTGGGTACACCCTAATATTGGTGTGTGGTGGTGAGCTGCGTTTGGTTTGCTTTGGATTGGTGGTTTCAAGTGGTAGTGGTGGTTTGGTTGGTTGGTGGCTGTAGTTCAGGTTTCAGAGGAGGGTGTGAAGGAGAAAAATATAGGAGAAATATCGTAGGTTTCTTATGAATCAACCCAAGTGAAAACACTTTGTGGTCAGAGGCAAACATGGATTCACAACCACACATTCAAATCTTATCCTTTGTTCTGTTTTTTTTCAACACCATTGTTCCACGTGAAAGAAAAAAAAAAATGAAGTAGTTAATAAATTTTAATTAAAAAACACAAAATTATATAAAATGATCCATCGAATACATAATGACAGAAATTACACTAAATATCCACTCGTGGGTGTGAGGTGTGTGGGTTAGAGAGAGATTGAAATCACATGCTATATATAATTAATTATATAAGTGCTTTCTCAGTCAAAAAAGGGGGGAGGGAGAGAGAGAGAGAGAGAGAGAGAGAAATGGCACAAATGCAAGCAAAGTACCTGAATATTGGGAAAGGAATATGCAGAGAAACATTATGGAGATACAAAGGAGGTACTACCAAACAACATGTTGATATCAATTTGAGTAGTGAATTTAGAATAAGTTGGAAATACCAAGTGAGGAGGATTAGGGAGGAGAAGAAGAATATTGAGTGCCCTACTACTACTAGTTTTTCATCAAATTATTCATCCTTTTCAACTGAGGAATTAGCCAAAAAAATTGAGGTGGTGGAGGGAAAATATGGGGAATTAGGGTGTTTGGTGAGAGAGTATGGATGGAAAGTAAGAAGAATGGTTGAGGAAGAAAGTGAGATGAGGAAAGTTGCTCAAATTCAAGCTGAAGCATTTCATGTACCTGTGCTTCTCTTCAATGATCTCTTCTTCCAATTCTTTCAGGTTTTTCTCTAATTTTCTAAATTCTCACTCTCTCTATATAAAATTTTATCAAATTTCTGATAAACTATAGGCGTATATGCCTTTTGTGATATGTGACTAACTGTGTTGTTCATTTTGTCACAGGCAGAAGTCCTTTCAGGACTTCTTTACAGACTTCAAAACTCACCCCCAGATAGGTATATAGATGACCCTCTTCTCAAAGTTTTTTAATTTTTAATTTTTTTTTAACAGATGATTTTAAATATTGATCGATACGGATACACGTCACTTCTTTTGCCACCTACTAGTGGAATGAAATTTTACACGCCTATCATAGGTTCATAGCCGATTTAATTCTCTTTGCGGCTGATATATTTTAGAATGGGTAAATTACACCACTTGTCTATTTAATTTGAGCAAAATTTTACTTTGTGATTCTCGTAATTTTAATTTGAATAATTTAATCGTTACATTACACTTTAAATAAGTTTAGTCAATTGGATCTGTTAGTAATTATCTCTGAATAATGAACAGGTATGCATGTTTGGTTGCTGAGCCAAACAGTAGTGATGATGATGATGAAGAAGAAGAGGTTGTGGGAGTTGTAGATGTGACAGTGTTGAGAGACGAAGCTGTTCTCCAACATCTCCCCACTCCTGCCAATGAATATCTTTACGTCTCTGGTATTGCTGTCTTAAGCAAATTCAGGTAACCCAAAAAAAATATATATAAAAAAAAAAGGTTAAAAACTCACAATGTTTTGTAAAGTCGTGTTTTAATAATATGAAATTATTGTGTTATCTAAACATGACTGGAGCTGTGTTTTGAAAACATTGACTTAAAAAAAAAAAAAATAACTTTAAAAATAAATTTTAGGATAAATTATACTTTTCACTTCTATAGTTAAACTTATATTTCACTTTGGTCTTTTATTGTTTCAATTTAAATAATTTAGTCTCTACACTTTTTAAGTTAAATTTTAATTTGGTCCTTCCGGTCAAAACTTCCTACCTTTACACCTAAAGAGATGGACAATTATTTCAAAATTGTTAATTTTAGCTTCTAAGAAAACAAAAAAACAAATTGAAACTCCAAGTATCATGTTAGAATATATATATTAGTAGTATATTAGCTAGTTGCATATGAGCTGTCTACCAACCAACTTTCATAATGTTGTTCCTTAGTGCGTTGCCTCTTTCGGCCACTTTTGGCCCCTCTGTACACACTCTCCCCTATAAAGGAGGGTCTTCTCTGAACATTGTAATAACACATTCAATACATATATCAATAACATCTCATTTATGCACTTGCTCTCCCTCTCTCTCTATCAATTTATCTTACATGGTATCAGAGCTATAGGTTAAAGATCTTGGTGTTCTTCGCCTTCCGGCGGGCGGCAACCTTGCCTTGACCGCCTGCCGGACCTCAACCAATTGAAACCTCCAACACATACCTTCCCATCATTGCCCAAATCCACCTGTCCAACCCAGTTGCCGACCGCCTCCCATTCTGTGCTCACCGCTGCTACGCCAACGACAAACACTCACACCACCACATTTACTCATCTTCCCCTCCCAACACAAGGCCATGTAAACTCCATGCTCAAGCTCGCCGAGCTCCTCTGCTCTCTTTCTGCAGCTCTTCCTCTCTCTCGCTGGTCTTATGTTCAACAGACCCAACACACCATGCACTGATGCACAACACACATATCACACACATGCACGGAGGAGGCAAAGCACAGGGATCACACACACGCTCAATATTCCCTCTCGGCATCAACCTTTCCTACCATACCCCCACACTCATACAGCATACACGCACACACACACAAGAGAGACTGATTACTCCTCTCTCTCTCTCTAGCCTAAAGCCAACCCATCTCTTTCTCTCTCGTCGATTTTGACCTCTCACTCTCGGCACCTCCTCTTTCTCTCTTGGCATGCATCTCTCTCTATCTCTCACAGAGCTTCATACACAGACACCACAACACCATTCACAACATACACACACCATCCATACAGATCAACACACACGCGATTTAGAGAGAGAGAGGACACACACTTCACACCACCAACTTCATCTTCTCACACACGGCTATCACAGAGCTAAACGGACCCAGCACACACACATAACACACCATACACGGCATCAACCTCCCGGCACCTCTTTCTCTGCAACTCCCTCTCTCTAGCTCTCTCTCTCGGCAGAGGGTTGGAGTACAAAAAAAAAAAGAAAAAGAAAACAAAGACTGCCATACACACACAGGTACATGGGACATCACCATACACACGGACAGCACACATTGAGACATGCATCCAATGACTCTCTCTCTCACTTTACACCCACTCTTTTCCTTTCTTTTTATTTTAATATTGCCCACCGACTCTTCTTTTCTTTAAACACAAAACCACTCTTATTTTATTTTTTTTATTCCATTCTCCCCACACACACAGCTCCCACCACACCACTCTTATTCCATTCTCCTCTGCTTTTTACTTTATTTTGTTTTACATATATATATATATATATGTTTATATATTATCCTACCCCACCAGGCCTCAGAAACCACTTTCTTATCTTTATTTTATTTCCTTCTCCACAAAAACCAAACCAACCAAAAAAAAAAAAAAGGCCCAAAACAAACACAGATTCAACACCGCCTCACTGATTTTTCTGCTCCACCAACCTTGTACCATTCTTGCCATCCAGCTTGCACAACACCCTTGTTTTATTCTTATCAGGGATCCACCCCGCTCACCGTTCTACATCACACCAAAAAAAAAAAAAAAAAAAAAACCTTTCTCCCATTTTTTTTTTTTTTTCACATCTTCACTCTGTGTTGAGCTGTTTTGCTCCACTTTATCAATCCCTTTGTTTCAACCTCAAATAGGTTTCTATCTTCACACCTATTTGAGTTTGAGGGGGGGTTATACATATATCATGGTGAGCATGGTTATACACCATGTGAACCACCCAAGCCACCCCATGGCGCACTCCCTAAGTCGCCCCCTTGGTGCACCACCAAGCTTCTACAACGGTCCGGCATGACCCCGTAAACTGTCCCGACATTGATTCCGGTCAGCTTCTACATCGGTCCGGCATGACCCTGTAAACTGTCCAGACATTATCTGCTACAACGGTCCGACACGACCATACAGTGTCTTTTCCTACAACAGTCTGACACAACCATACCGTGTCTTCAACAACGATTTGACACAACCATACAGTGTCTCCTATCCTATTTTACCTTATTTGTCAATTTATTTTGTCTTTTTTGTTACTCTTTCCAAGTTGGTTTGTAACCATCCTCCTTGAGTTTGAGGGGGGCTGTTAGAATATATTAGTAGTATATTAGCTAGTTGTATATGAGCTGTCTACCAACCAGCTTTCATAATGTTGTTCCTTAGTGCGTTGCCTCTTTCGGCCACTTTTGGCCCCTCTGTACACACTCTCCCCTATAAAGGAGAGTCTTCTCTGAACATTGTAATAACACATTCAATACATATATCAATAACATCTCATTTATGCACTTGCTCTCCCTCTCTCTCTATCAATTTATCTTACATATCAAATGAAATTTGAGTCAGACTAGTAAAAGGGTAATTTATCATAAATTTTATAATAAGTTGAGTTTGGCGAAAAAAAACTCCTAGTTATAATTGTTTGCAAAACAATTTTATTTTATTTTTTAATTTTATTTGTAAGAAGCAATAAGCAGAGAATTGCACTGACGAATAACAGGAGGAAAAAAGTAGGAACAGCATTGCTAAAAGCGTGTGAGAAGCTAAGTGGTGTATGGGATTATGAATATTTGGTGCTGAGGGCTTATGAAGATGATTTGGGGGCTTTGGAATTGTATAGAAATGCAGGCTACGTAATTGTCTCAGGTGATCCCCAATGGATCACCTCTTGGATTGGCAGACGACGTCGTGTTCTCATGATTAAACGCCCTTTATTAATATAAACTTAAATCTTTACTTATATTATATAATTTATACTCTTGAGTTGATGCAAATTGTCGCATTTTTATGATTTTTTTAAAATAACATTATGTAATTGTTTGTAACTTCTTGCATCATGTAAATACTTACTTAAATTCATATTAAAATTTATAACTTCTTTTAGTTTGAGTATTACACCATTCGCGTGGGTATATGTATAGGGGAATTTTTTTTAAAGTCTTGATATTAAAATTTTATTGTAAGTTTCTGAATAATTCTGTATATTCAATTGTGTATATTTACAAAGAGTTCAGTGGTATATATAGCTTAAACCTATGAATGAAAAAGGAAATACAAAAAAAAAAAAATTGCCTAATTCCTAATATACGCAAGCATGCCATATATACAATATATATTCTCACACTCCCGCTCAAACTCAAGGTGTTTTAGCAGAAAACACGGAGAGTTTGTTAAGAAGAAACTGAAACCGAACTGTAGTGTGAGTCTTGGTGAAGAAGTCCGCAAGTTGCAAAGTCGAGGAGACAAAAGGAAGCAAGTAGAGGCAGACTGCAGATGTTGTCAACAAAGTGACAATCAATCTCAATGTGTTTTGTTTGTTCAGGGAAGACAGTATTGTGGACAATCTGAATAGCATTGCGGTTGTCACAATAGAGGGAGGTCGGAGAAGACTGAAGTACACTTAAATCAAAGAGAAGACAACGAAACCAAACAAACTCAGCAGTAGCATGAGTCATAGCACAGTTCTCAGCTTCGGCAGTAGAGCGAGTAACAACAGTTTGTTTCTTGTTTTTTCAAGAAATTAAGGAATCGTCAAGAAACATACAGAAACTAGAGATGGACTTGCGATCATTAACATCACCAGCCCAATCAGAATCAGCATAGGCCACCAAGTTTAAAGAGAAAGTAGAGGACAACAGCAAGCCCTGAAAGATGATACCCTGGAGATAGCGAAGAATGCGAACCAAAGGAGCCCAATGGGTAGAGTGAGGAGTAGAAACGAACTGACTAACCACATGAACAGCATAAGTAAGATCAGGGCGAGTGACAATCAAATAAACTAAACAACCCACCAGCTCGTGATAGACCGTGGGATCATCCAAGGGGACACCATCAATAGAGTTGAGTTTCACATTAAGCTCAATAGGTGTATCAGAAACCTTAGTATCAGTAAGACCAGCATGGCGAATAGCTTCATTAGCACACTTGGCCTGAGACAAAAAATAGCCCTTTGGAGAAGAGGCAACCTTAATATTAAGAAAATACTGCAATGGACCCAGATCTTTCATTTTGAAGGTTGAATAAAGAAAAGAAACAATGGAGGCAGATGGGGATGGCTAGGAGGTAGACACTGAAGTTGACTAATCTGAGCATTCAAGGAAGCCAAGTCAGGATTAGAAGTTGGAGCAGATGCAGTAGAACCGATAGAAGCCTGAAAAATACCCAAAGAAGAAGGCAAAACTGGGTCTGAGATTGCTGAGAAGACGAGCCAGACATGCTTCCCTTATTGGGACAATGATACTTCCAATGGCTTCTCTGATGACAGAAGACACATTTATCAAAAGTCAGGGACATTGTAATAACCAGAAAGCTCAGGGGTTCAAGTGTAATAATCCAAAATCAGAACCAGAAGGATCAAGCTGTAATAAGCAAAAAAGTTATCCAACAAATCCACAAATGAAATAATAACAAGGTGTGATCCAAATATACCACTCAGATTTTATTTTATTTTATTTTTTATTTTTTAACACCCACAAATATCAGAATTTGAATGACTCAGTAATATAAACAAGAGTTTGAGAAAGACCCAAGAGAGAGAGAGAGTCTGAAGCCAAAGCCCAAGCCAAAGAGGGGTCAGACAGAGATCGCGACAGAGAGACACTTCACGACCACAGACCAGAGATAAAGGCTTCGCGAGATAGAGAGAGAGGTTTTGCGACCACGAACGTGATTCTGGAGAGAGAGAGAAGTCGCGATTTTGATGGTGATGAACCAGACGAACTAGAGAAGGCTGATACGAACTAGACAAGGCACGAGTCAGGGTTGATGAGGGTCACGAACCGGAAGAACCAGAGATGAGTCAAGACAGATGACCCCTCAACCAACGAAGACGAACCACGATGGTGAAAATTGGAGCACCTAGGGTTTCGAATTGAGCTCTGATACTATGTAAGTTTTTGAATAATTATGTATATTCAATTGTGTATACTATGTAAGTTTTTGAATAATTATGTATATTCAATTGTGTATATTTACAAAGAGTTTAGCGGTATATATAGCTTAAACCTATGAATGAAAAAGGAAATACAAAGAAAAAGAAATTGTCTAATTCCTAATATACACAAGCATGCCATATATACAATATATATTCTCACATTTATAAGATAAAGAACATATAATATTTTCATAATAGTTGGAGTTCCTTAATATTTTCATAGAGAAATTTCGCCTCGACATAGAGAAATTTTCTTGATATGATGACAAATAAATTTTGAAATTCCTCTAATATAATCATAGAGAAATTTTATCGAGAGACTTTAGCTAATAAAAAAAAAATATATTGGATCTCTCTTACTACCCAAAGTTAAATAGGGATATTTCGCTAATTTTCCCCCCTATATACATACATACATATATATATATATATATAATTATTTATCCAAATGCACAAATTATTTTGGCTACTAATCATTGCTTTGGTAAAAATCATTGTTTAACCCTTAATGCTGTGTTTGGTTGGGGGATTTGGGAGGGATTTGGAAAAGGAAATGGAAAAGGTAGGTGAAATGTGAATAAAACATTCATATATTTCACCTATCAAAAAACACTCTAAAACGACGTCGTTTTGGGATTTTGAGACATTCGAGCCATTTAATTTTCGAGCTACGTAGTAGTGCCGTATATATAATTATTTATCCAAATGCACAAATTATTTTGGCTACTAATCATTGCTTTGGTAAAAATCATTGTTTAACCCTTAAGAGTTTTGTGTCAATTCTTCAAATTTTAATTTTGTTAGTTCCATCTTTCAAAATTCTAATTTGAATCAATTTTGTCTAATTTTAAATAGACTATTAACAAAATGATAATAAAATGTGTATTTCATGTCACTTTAGTCCCTAAAGTGAAGCGAAACAAAAGTGACCCTAAGATATCTGCAAAAGGAAATTAATAAATATTTGTAATTCTAGTTGGTGGATTTTAAAAAGCCAAAGCAAAGCAAATAAGAAACAAACAATGGAAGGCAAGTTTTTATATATCAAGCTTCTCAGATTATATTTATTTTGTTTCATTTAGCCCCCTTTTGCTTGATCTCAGTGTCTTCAACAACGAGGCTGCCCTTTGAGATGCTGGCCTTCAACCTTGAAAATCATACCACTGCATGTTATCAATTTTTAAGGTCTGAATTCTTTAAATTCTCAGCCAACTTCTGATGAACCTCTTCATGTCCAGTGGACTCTTTTGGCAAGAAAATAGTCTCATTGTAACTTAAATTGCCATTCTTTTTAAACATTATACATGGTAATTAAGGAGACAATCAGATATCACATGTTGCGTGGTTACAATGTTTTAATAAGAGGCTGCTCATCAACATATTATCATTTGAAATATTACAGTCGAGTCATTTATAACAATTTAAATTTGATTGGAACACCTCTGTTTTTAAACAGGGGACATAATAAGCTTGAACTCACCATGCACCTTCTCAATTTTTTCTTGAAAAAATTATTGCAGATTTGAGTTATTAGGGCATGTTTGATTGATAGGATTAGAGCATGAGATTGAGATTATTAATCCGTGGATCCAATAATCCTATGTTTGTTTTGAATTTTTTTTTTCAGGATTATTAATCCAATGGATAATTAATCCAACAAATTTGTGGGATTATTAGTAATCGGGTAGGAGTGGGATTATTAGTAATGTGGTAGGAGTGGGATTAAAATAAAAAGACTATTTCACCTTTATATGTTTTCTTATCCAATGCAATTCAAACAGTGGATAAAGAGATAATTTATCCGATTAATCCAATTGAATAGTGAACACCACACTAATTTAATGAGATTATTAATACCTTCACTATTAGTCTTGTGAATCAAACATAGCCTTAGAGGGGTATGTATGTCACTGGAGTGAAACAAGCTGTTGCTACGGAATTACATTGTCTTGACCAAAATCTACATTCCATTCCATCACAAGAAACCTGTAACAACAAAACAGCAAAACAGGAAAAAAATAATATGAGAAAATGGCCTCGATACACATATTATATGTCTTCCAGAAGAATATCTGATGGACGCACATATCCGAAATCCATGGAGTAATCATCCATCTCCATCTCCTCATCTGTAAACTTTGTCATCCTCCAACTCTCTACGACCTCTGAATCATTTCCGTATGTTAGAAGTTCTAATACCTGCATTCAAAAGGACCACATTTATTAAACATAACATCTATGCCAATGTACACATACTGTATCCATATTCATTGAGACACACAGTTTTTTTTATACCTCACTCATTGATGGACGCCATATTGAGGATCGTCTCACACAATAAGAAGCAGTGAGCACTAATCTTTGCATTTGATCCAAGTCATATTTATCTTCCAATTTCGGATCAACTAATTCAGTGATGCTTCCTGATTCCATAAGCGGCTTTGCCTACATATTAAAGTCATTCAAATTCAGTAAAATATTTTTTGAATTCAGAGTAATTTGAAAAATAATAGATTCGTTTTAGAAACAATTTCAGTGCATATTGATTTCTACTTAAGCTTTCAGTTTAAACTTCCCCGTTAAACTTTTGTTTGATCACTGTGGATCATGTTCCAATTCGATAATTTGAAAGCAATTCATCCACATTGTTCCATCACTTACTTCTTGCAACATTTGCAATCAAAGAAAACAAATGTTTAAACACTTATTTGTTGTCACATGCACTGGGTTGCATAAAAAATTTATGTGTTGTCTATCATATTTTTAATTTTTTTTTGAAGTGGGTTAGAATACATTCTTGTTTAAGTTGCTATAATTAGATTACAGGGGAGGCAGTCTCCTTACCCACAAGAGAAGGTTTTCTACTGGCCTACGGCCAGTAATGATCTCCAAAAGAAGAACTCCGAATGCAAAAACATCGGTTTTCTCATCCACAATTCCATGCATGAAGTACTCTGGTGCTAAGTAACCAAACGTTCCCACTATCGGAATCACAGCATGGTGAGTCCATTTATTAGGAAGCCATTTTGCGAGTCCAAAGTCTGAAATCTGCATTACAATGAAAATCGAGGTAAATTCTAATACATCAGGTTCTTTTTCATGAAAAAAAAAAAAAAGAAAAAAGAAAAATTGCGGGATGTTGTCTGTTGTTCACCTGTGGTTCGTAATCTGGCCCAAGAAGCACATTGGAGGCCTTTATGTCGCGATGTATGATTCGGTGCTTGCAACATTTATGAAGATAATGCAGACCCCTTGCAATCCCCAGTGCAATTTTATATCTATCTGGCCACTCGAGTAACTTGTCTTCTTTTCCTGCGAAAAACAAAATTGTACAAGTCTTTTGGTATCACATACATAAGCTTTCAGTAGCATGCAGACCCATCTAATTGGATTTTTTTTTTTGACTAAATTTAGACAAACATTACATGATTATTTCTAAACCAATACCATGCAATGCAGATGCTAAAGTTCCATTGGGAGACAAGTTGAAGATGAGATGGAGTCCATTTTCAATGCAGCAGCCAACTAAGATTGCAGTATTGGGATGGTTTACATGTCCTATTATCCCCAACTCTAGAAGGAACTCTTTTTCCTTGTTTTCATCTGTGTTGTCCTTTGCCAACCTCTTAACTGCTATGGCACGTCCATCATCAAGATCTCCACGATACACCTCTGAGTATCCTCCTCTCCCCACCATATTATCTGCAATGATGCAAGCAATCGCATGAATTTTTGAAATTTTGTTAATCACCCTTTAAAATTTTTATTACAAAGAAAGAAAAAAAGCGATTGGTAATGAAGCATTCGAATGGCAAAAGTTGCACAGTATTCATACCCGGGTGGAAATTTTTTGTGGCTTTCGCAATCTCTTTGTAGCTAAAGCACCTTAGCGAAGGTTGCTGCTTTTCGTTGTCAGATAAGACGTCATTTCTTTTTCTTGCATTGAAATCAAATGATGATCGTAGGAAAGAGGAAACACGCTTAAAAGGCGATGGTGGCTTTGGAAAATTGGATTCCCTTTTTAACTCAAGAGACAGAGGAGGGGACTCTGTTATGCTTGAATCCCCAAAACTAGAGCTATCTTCTCCAGTGCTATTTGATTCTCCTTTACATACATCTAGCACTGTTCTTGGTGAAAATATTTTTTCTCTCTTTGTTTTTGTGACCGAGGACTTGTCCATACGATCATTTTTGTTTGACCACTTTGAAATCATTTGACAATGCTCTGCTAGATTAGAACTGATTATTAGAGCACATCCAATTTAAAATAATATAAAAATTTCATCGAAATTTCAAGTTTTTGAAATGAACTAACCTTCAATGTGCAGAGTATTTAAACCTGAATTTTGTTGTGGTACGACACATTTCCCAACTGAGACCACTGAACATCCTTCCGGGGCATGCTCAAAGCAGTACCTTGTGATTTCGTGCGAAATTCTAATGGCAAAACACGAATAATCTATTTAAAACATATTCTATAAAACCAAAGTATATGAATTGAACTTGATCAGAATCTATACCTGTTTCTTGAGTGACCAACAACAAGAAAATCTGCATTTATACATTTCGCTTCCTCAATTAGACCTCTTGCAACACTAGTGCTGAACCCAACTCTAGCCTCCAGATTCACCTGAAATTTTTAGGCTCTTAAGCATATATATGGAAATTGCCAATTTTGGAGCACTTAGTATTTACTTGCTCATAAATATTGCAGAAATGATATAACTTGTACTACGTTATGGTCTGAAACTGAAAGAGGATAGATATATGTACCTGCTTAGAGTGACAGATTGTGGCAAATTCAGCCATCACAGATATGACGTATGCTTTTGTATGACCAGCATGTGTTTGAAATTTTGCAACTGACTCGTGTTTCTTCCTATGATGTTCTACTGTTCTACCAAATAAACACGTGAGACTGTGTCGGCTAAAGAAACTTGTACTAATAAATTGCAATATCTAAATTCATACAAACTACAATATAGTATTTGTAGTTAGCATTTTGTTGAATTCACCCCATGTGAAGGAGGTGATGCTCTTCCATGGGAACACACCTTGGTCAACAATGGAAGGCCACCAACCATCTTGAAGAGTCAAGGATGGAGGCTGCCCAAAGGCTCTCCCACCTACTCCCTCACCTATAAATGGAGGTTGAGAGGAGAGAGCAAAATGTGAGCAAACCGTGAGACAACAAAGAGAGTGAGAGATGTGAGGCGGAGAGACCGTCTCCCTCGGTGTGAGCGAGGGAGACGGGTGAGTGGCTGAGTGAGGAGAGTGTGAGCTCCTCCTCTATTGTAATCTTTCTGTAATCTCCTCATTGGTATAGTGATAACCGGTTACTCTCCCGTGGACGTAGGCATTGGGCCGAACCACGTAAAATATTGTGTCTCCTTGTGTGTGGGTGTGTTTTTCTGCTTGCAATGATTTCTATAAGGTCTTGGGCGGGATCCCAGATCCCAACACATTTTACTGTTCACTTACTTATCCTTTGATTTGTTTATGAATAAATGTATATGCATCGTCAATGTGTGTTTTATATTAGATGTATTTTACGAAATATATACAACGTGTAAATATACGATGCACGTTACAACCTATTAAAAAACTATATTATGTTTTTTATATGAGAAGGGATCTTCTTCTTCTTCCTTTTTTAAAGATAAATATCTACTTGTCTAATATTATATATCTTATGCTATTGATTTACATGGGCAAAGTTAAAGGACTTTATTATTTGAGACTGTAAAAGTTGTAAATTAAAAATTAAAATATCAATAATGGTGATTTAAAGCATTAAAAAAAATATTTTATATTCTGAAGAAAAATTTGATTCAAGAATATGATGATCTACTGAAATGCTACATCTTTGGTTAAACTTATTTTTATCTCCACTTTGCATTTTATATGTATTTAAGTATTGATGCATGTATACCTTGCATTCTAGAACCTTGCTTATGTAATGATTAATTGTAGATTGTTTAATTTTTTATTCTTGCAAGATAATTATGGTTTTTATAATTATAGTATTGTCTACCTTTTTTTTTTTTTTTTTTTTTAAATAAAATTTACGATACACAAAACAATAAATATGGGTGTACCCAATTTGACAACATTGACTACAATTAATGCACTTGGAGTTGGAATATCCATAAAGAAACTTAGATAATGTCAAACATTACTGTCAAATAACTCTCACACGAAACATCTTTTTCCATAAAAGAGAAAGACAAAATGAGAGAAAGTATATAATTTGACCCAAAATGGTCTTAATTAATATGATGAATGAAATGACAAATTAAGATTAGGTAGAAGAGAAGATACTAACCAAGAACATGTAAGGCAACCAGAGTGTCATTTGGATGAGCTACAATCCTGATTGCCCATGCCACAAGCTCTTTGCTATCATCTGGGTTTAAAGATATGCCTACCAGTATTTTAGCAGGAGGAGGTGAAACACTCATTTCTGCTTCTATATGATTCTGCTGGAAGAATCAAGATTAATTAGTAGAATTTGACGACCTAAAACATAAAAAAAAATATACACAAAATGGTTTGTTTCCTTATTCTGATCCTACTCAGCAGTGGAAGCATAGAAACTCTAGCTTAAGATTAATATGTATTATACGAGCAACAACATGATTTAAAGGTCCAGTGGGGAACTGAGGCCACCTTGGTTCTCATTCATATATTCTTGTTTAGGAAGCGTAAGCGCTTCTATGCAAATAATGTTAAGAACAATAACAAATTTACCAACAAATATACCAATTAGACAAAAATGAAATGAGCAATACTAGGTATCATGAAAAAACTTTCATGAAAATGATCATGAAAGATTTATGACCCTTGGATTACACTTAAAATAAAGCACCACACACTAATCAAGGTAATTCAAGGGTCATAATTCTTTCATGATCATTTTCATGAAAATTTTTTCATGATCCCTAGCTTTTCTCAAATGAAATATGGGTTTCACATCAAATGGTGGAACCCACATACATGTGTCGTATCTTAGTTGATATGCTTGTTGGCATATTATGAAAGGGAAAGGAAGGCTTTTCTTGTTGCAAGTGAATTAGTGATTAGTTTCTCTCTGTCTCTTGAGAGTTCTGTGCTTTTGGAGTGCAATTAATGCTATGGTTGGGGTGCTTTGGGGTGTAAGCAAAGGTGGTGAACGTGTATTTGATTTGTCTTGTAGACTAAGCCAAAACAGAGACTCCATTTGTCTGCTTATTATAAAAGGTAATTCATGTTGTTTGGGTTTGGTAGGAGGGGCTATTTGCTACTCAAGAAGTGTCCTAACCTTTTAATCATTGAATGAAACGTTGATAATACAATTTTGCAATGTTGGGATGAGAGAGAGAAGAGAGAGAGAATTTGTCCACATAGTAATTGCTTGATCACATAGTCACATTAACCATTTATACAAGCATGGCAAATTTTATCTTATGGACGTTGCAAATTACTAATGGGTCATGTGGCGGCACTTATATCCTATTAGGGATTTTAGGAATTAAATTTTTTTGTCTGAAAAAAAAAAATTATTACAAAAAAAATAGGAGATCAATTATAGTTGTCCCAAAAGTCCATTATAAAAAAGTGTACAGAAATAAATAAATAAAAAATAACAACAAAAAAGTTTTAAAGATTTAAATTTCAAGAAGAAAATTTTCGTCTAAAAAAGCATAATAATTCAATGCTAAATGTCTAATTTCATTGCTCAAAACATAAAAATTACACTTTTGATAATTAAGATATTTCGTACATAAAAAGTGATTGTTCTTAAATTTTTGTCAATAAACCATGATTTGTTGTAGTGTGTCATTATCAAAGTTTAGTTGCAAAGATTAACCCATTACTCACATATATAAGAAATGTTAGGATCAAACACACCCAGAAATATATCTCACACACTCAGGAAACACAATATTTACGTGGTTCGGCCCAATGCCTACATCCACGGACAGAAATGAGAAGTTTTCACTACAATGGAGCAAAATACAAAATACAGAGGAGGAGATGAAACTCACTCAACTCACAGCTCTCACTCTCTAATTTCTGATCTGTATCTCATCCTCTCCCTCCCGTCTCTATTTATACACAAAGGAGTAGGTGGGAGTGCCTTTGGGTAGCCTCCTTCTTTGACATGGTTGGTAGCCTACTTCCTTGTTGACCAACCAAGGTGTGTTCACAAGACAATTTCCCCTTCACATGGGGTGAATTCAACAAGAAATTATTTACAAGCATGAAAAAATTTATATCAAAACAATCCTAGTTCAACATTATAAGAGTCTAACAACTAACTAAACAAATTGCGTTCACAATGAGAATGAAATAAAGAACACAACAGATAGCTCAACAACTAACCAAATGACACAGGCAGTGTCATTTGGTTGAGCTCAACAATTATAGGTCAACTCACAAAATGACCAATAATTGAGTTTCATGCCCATAATAGACTAATTCGCATTAACAATCTACGGGGAAAAAAAATCACACCTACAGACTGTTATTACCATCTAACCTCCGATCATAAATATTTTCTCTGACCAACCCACTGGCATTGGGTGCACAAAGGGGGAAATATTTTATCAATCTTAATACTCTTTTGTTTGTATCTTAACCTCAACTGAGAAAATAAATTAGGCAAAACAAGTTTAATGCAACTGAAATCACTTGCTAAAACACCTTCAACAACACCACTTTTTATATCGTTCAGCTCTATTCAAAACCTGAATATTACAAATAAAAATACATAAATTATAATTCTAAACAGTCTTAAAATACATTTGACTCCTTAACGTAATTTTGCATTCTTTTCCACTAACAGTAGCAGCCACTAAATATATGGCATCTTTCTGAATACTTCAGCGCCCCCCCTTCTGCTGATCTGGGCTGTCCATTGTTGTACTTTGGGGCACGTGTATGGATGAGTTTAAAAGGAAGTCACACTCGGGCCCAGGTGTGAGTACTTTTGATTCTTTTGCCAGATAGTGCTATACACGTGTCACTTTTCTGGTAGTTTGCGTGGTTGTAAAGTAAATATTCTTGCAGAATTGTAGACATAAAGCAAAAGCGGGAAAATGTGTTTAAATTATTTTGAATGGAGAATCTTCGTCCTTACACAAGGGCCACTTTTGCTATTTATTTGGTACCAGAAAACATTTTATGGTAGAGAGGAATATACTTTTGCAGTGGGATAGCTGTTGTCATGAAATTGTTTTTTGGTACTTTGTTTTGTCTCTCATTTTCAGTCTTTTTTTTTTGTAGTGGGATAGTTATATATTTTTGACATAATTATACTGTCTTAATATTTTAACCCATATAATACTAATTAGGTTATTTTTGATTAATAATTTGTTAATCGTAAAAATGAAATACGATGTTATCATCTATTTTTTATTAAAATATATATTTATTTTTACTTATTTTAATATCTATATCTATTATTAATTTCGATCGTTTTAATCATATTAGGAAAAAATTAATATAGTAATGTCCTAAAACTAATTATATTTTTACAAATCTGGAGGACGTAAGTGTAATTTACATTTTTTTTAAACACCGAATTGTTTTCCCTCCTTTTCTTCCCCCCCAATTTTTGGCCTATACTAATTAAAGTCTCATCAGGCGAATCTCGGTCTCTAGTCAGGTTTTAAGGTGCTCAAAATCTGTGTCTGTTGCACAGAGCAGAGCTGTGCGATTTCATTCTGTCTGTCTCACCCTCATCCACCATCCACCGTTGGCCATTGCTGCTGCAAGAACCACCGCGATTTCTCTCTGATCTTCCAAATCGGAGCCCAATGTCGGAGTCTAAGATTAGTTTTCTACTCACCTGCATTTTCTCTCTCTCTCTCTCTCAAAATTCGAGGGTTGTTCTTGTTTAAATGCGTGGATGAGTTTGATTTTGATACGACTCAAATGAACATCTACAAATCTTCTACTTCATCAAATTTCAGGTGTTGCAGAGAGACAAGGTATGGAGGGGGATCGTTTTTTTTTTGGGACAACCAGTGAGTTTCTTTATATTCTTCCCTCACCTTTACTTTTTTGCTAATTTTTAGTTTCGTTTCATTAAATCTATTTTGATATATATATATATATATATTTAATTTGTTTATCTATTGCATCAATTAGAATCTGGTATAATTGAATTTGCAGTTAGTTTTGAAATATATGTTACATTAATTTTGTTGAGTGAATGGCTTTTGTTGAATTCACCCCATGTGAAGGGGAAATTGTCTTGTGAACACACCTTGGTTGGTCAACAAGGAAGTAGGCTACCAACCATGTCAAAGAAAGAGGCTGCCGAAGTCAAGCATGGAGGCTACCCAAAGGCACTCCCACCTACTCCAAGGTGTATAAAATGGAATGGTGATGGTGAGTTGAAGACAGGGCAAATGGCAAAACACATTGCTGAGAGAAAGGCACAAAACAGAGAGAGCTAGTGAGAGCTATTTTCTGTTTGTCAGAGAGTGTGAGTGAGTATGTTATATAGAGAGACAGTGAGTTGAGAGTGTGTAATCTCCTCCATTTGTTGATATATAACAACATCGCTCCCGTGGACGTAGGCCGGTTTGCCGAACCACGTTAAAACTCTTGTGTTTTTGCTTGTGAGTGTCCCCTGGTGTGCCCATGATCCGCAACAATTGGTATCAGAGCCCGGGTGGAGAAAAATCGAGTTTTTTCCGAAAGTGTCCAGATTTTGAAGTGGTCGAAATCCACTCATCCTGAGCCGAGCCGAGCCGTCGAGCCGTTGACCGCGCCGCTGACCAGGCCGAGCCGCGCCGGAGCCGCGCCGCCAGCCAAGCCGCGCCGCTGAGCCGCCGTTGACCGCGCCCCTGCGCCGTTGACCGAGCCGCTGACTGCGCCGTTGACCAGCCGATCCGGAGGAATTATCTGGTGCTTCTCAGGCGCACCAGATTCAGCAAATCTGAACCGTTGAAACTGTTTTGGCTAGATCTAGGCCATTCGGAGTCCGTTTTTTGGCGATCCAATAGTGCGTTCCAACTATTTGAAATATTCCGGACCCATCCGTACGGTCAGATTCTTAAATCGGAATTTCTTTAAAAAGGGAAGAAATTTACAATGGCAGGAAAAGGCGCAAGTTTCATGATTGAGCCTTTTAATGGTAGTAATGACTTTACCCTGTGGCAGCAAAGGGTGAAAAACATTTTAACACGAGAAGGTCTGGTGAAAGCTCTTCTCAAAAAGTCCAACAAACCGGAAGACATGAAGGATGACAAGTGGGAGGAGTTGAGGGAATTGGCAAATAGTACAATTCAGTTGTATCTCGGGAACAACACACTCCGGGAAGTCATCAGTGAAGTAGATCCGGCGGAGCTATGGGCAAAGTTAGAGATGAGGTACAAGTTAAAGTCTTTGACAAACCGGTTATCTCTGAAGAGGTAGCTATATACACTTATAATGCCAGAAGGTGCGAACCTCACAGAACATCTGGACGAGTTCAATAGGATCACAATGGAATTGGACACCATTGGAGACAAGACCCAGGAGGAAGATAGGGCTATGATCTTGCTGGTCTCTCTACCTGCATCATATGAGCATCTCAGGACAACTCTATTGTACGGGAAGGATGCTCTTGGACTGGATGCTCTTGGACTGGATGAGGTGATTGCTACGCTCATTTCTCATGAGTCGATGAAGAAACAGGAAGGTAGCAGTAGCAAACACCCAGAAGGAAATGCCATGGTTGCCTCAGAAAATGAGCAAGGCAGAGGTAGGT